CGTTTTTCCAATTTATCGCTGAAGTATTGGCGACATTTAACAACCACGAACCGCCTTGTAACAATACATCTTGCGGGAGACGTGTTCGCCGTTGAAAAATACCCGCGATCCGACTCAATTCACCCGAAACGAGATTAATGGTTCGCCGAGAATGTTTTCTGTCGCTGAAAGAAGTGGCTCGGCTCGGCGAACGGAAACACGAGAACTTGATCAATTCTCTAGGAGCCAGCGAACGCAGGCTTGGCAATTATTGCCACCCCGCGTTCGGTTACAATAGGGACTATGGTGAATTATGTCTAACTGAACAATTCCCTTTCCACGTATACACCCACACATTAGCCATTCTTGCGTTCAAATTTATTTACTTCAACTTCCTCCTTCATTCTTACAACGAACAACATGAATTAAAAAATTCATTAGCCAATACCAAAGACCTGCGTCTTGTATCAAACCAGATTTAATTTCCTAATAACTAAATCTTGCCAAGAGGAATGTGCTCGAAACACATACATATTCCTATTGTCCATTTCATCTTTGCAAAACGTTCGAAACTTGGAACACTTCCAAAATATTAATCAATCCCAAAACCAACTGGCATCAACAACTCCCATACATCAACTTGCCAGGTTGTGAACTAATTTTACCGATTGTTCCCGGTGTTCGCCGAACGCAAGACGCGGAACCTCGTTACCGCGAGATTCGAAGACATTAACGGTGCCAAGTGTTCGCGTAATTCGACTTGCCAACCCCCCCGCGCCCCTTTCAGCGGGGCTCGTCCATGAGAGGGACTCTATCGCCAGTCAGGGGGCCACATGGCAGCGGCCAGCCGTTTCCCGTGATTTACCGGTATTGCCGCGCAAACTCGATTATAATGATGCAGGAACACGCCGCGTCGAGTTACAACGCCGGACTTTCATTAAACGATAATCATCTTTCCGGTCGTCTCGCCGGAAACCGCCCGCCTTCCGCGCATTGTCCCGGCGCGGCGCCGCTCGGACTTTTATCACGGTCCAGACACTTTCGCCCGTGGAAAGCCTGCGACAGTCGTGGAACAGGGTGGAAGTTTGTTCTCAATTAAATTGAACCGAGGTCTCCTCTCCGAGCTGCGGGCCACCATTCACGCTTTGGTGGGCTCTTAACAAGTATGGGTTTTTAGCTACGATCCTTCGAGGACATGTTAATGGCTGTGGACATATATTTTGGATATGTTAGTATGGCGAAGTTTGTAATACCTGTTTGGAGAATATATGTGACTTTCGCATATTTAAATGATTAACGACTATCATGACCGGGTAATTACAGTGACTTATTTGAAACTTTTTATATACAAATGGGAAGAATACATTTCTTACTTTTGTAACTGTAGAAATGGACAAGCTTATTTTACCATGTCTTGAAAAAGTGTCTTCGTTGGTTCTATACTTGCAAAACGAAGATTCTGAAATGTGTCGATTTGATTCGATTGATGGTTCTAGTGTTGTGTTGCGAATAAAAATAGAATATCTTGATAGAAATGTATCCGAATTTTTATTGTAGATTTTGTATGAACTGGACAGTGTTGAAATCTATGTAAAGTAATATTCGAGTACGTTGTGCGAAGTCGAATTTCAGTCAGAATTGAATTCTGAGTATTTCACTTGGAGTGATAAATGAGAAAAATGATCTGTTTAGCGGAAAGATCTTAGGTTCACAGTGGAACAGACATAATTCGTGGGGTCTTGAGAAAGTGCGGCCTGGGGTTGGCGCGCTTACTGAATTCCCAAGGCTGCAATCTTGATTATCCATCGTATAACTAGCTCGCTGACAATCGTTGTTCTGTTTGCGCTTATAATTACTGTTTGCGGAGCATTGTTCTTAAGCCGAGCGCTCGGAATGGCACCCCAGTTGATAAGTTACTGGGAATCACCGTCGAAAGTCCCCCATTTCGTCGGTGGAATCGACCGCGGGGTAAAACTCTAATGAAGGAGGTTACGAGGTTACTTCTGGATCCTCTGAATTATTGCGCGAACCTCGTCAGAGGGTTACAGCTCCTTCGTTTGTTAGCATTCATGGACCGTTTGTATAAATTTTCAGTCTGTTCCGCTCAAACCACTGGCAAGGATAGCCTTTCCATCGCCGCCGACAAGATGGCGGCTCGTTTTCGGAGAAATTAGACTAGAACCTTAAGGAGAAAATTCTTCGATCACATCAACCAAAATGCATAATAAAATACGTAATAAAAACTTTTATTAAGTACACAACTTTGAAAAATTAAAAAATTCAATAATAACTGTATATTTCTTTAATAGTATCTCTTGAAATGGAAAAAGATAGTATTTACAATAATAAACTAAATAATAAACATGCTAGTCTTCATAGATCAAGCGAGTGCATCAGTAACTTCTTATTTTCAGTCACAAATTCAATGATTTTGTGAAAGATAATCTACAATTTCCATGTAGTTGTAAAAAATCGAGTGTGTAGAAGACGTATCTCAGCGTATGAAATTTATGCGGTAGCCTAATAAGCGCCGAAATGAAAATGCGTCGAGCGGGACCGTCACGAGGGAGGTCGAGCGATAACGGAATAAGAAGGCGGATAGGCGAAGCGTTGTTTCCGTAGCCGAGCTGCGCGTTAATAAACCCGGCCGCGGTTTATCTTTAGCTAAGGCCCGATCGGACGGTTCAATCTGCCGAAGACCATTTTCATAATCGTTTCAGAAGCACATTAAGAGTTAAGGTAAACTGAAAACTTTAACGAGCGGAGTTTTAAGCCGATTAAACGTCCTCGAACTCTCCTCGAATGTACACAGACTCCGAACAGGACTGAACAAGCAAGTTCGCCGGGGACAATCAGCTTATTCGCGGAGTTTCTTTTCACGATCCGATGTGTACACAAATGAATCTTCTATGAGACGACGCGACGCCGGAGCGGGAATGCCGACGGTCGAATCGAGTCGGAGCGCAAAGTAATTGGAATCGAGCTGCCGTTCATTATATTCCGCGCCAGAACTTTAATTACCGTCATCGTTTTCAACCTGTCTGTTCGAATAACTTTATACGCTACCATTTGCAATTTTCATTAAACAACTACAGACGTTCTATCAACTCCGCATATTTTTCAACCAACCAACCGAATTCGGTTAATTAAATCTTGCGCACTGTCCAGGTAATTTGATATTCCCCGTGTTAATATTGAAATTCAATTAAGGAAACGTGGTGTATAGAGAACAGGATGCTTGGGATAAAAATATTGAATTTCATTGTATTTTATACGCAGATGAACGAACGAGACTCTATCGTTTCTCGAATATTGCCGATAGTAAATCGGATTCGTTACGAGCGTAAAGGGAATCGTGATTCTCAGCTCTGAAAGGCGATGCCACGCTGAAGGGACGTAGCTGGAACACGCGATTACAGAATAAAACTGTATCCATTGGTAGCTGTACGCCTGAGGATGGCAGCCGAATGTCCCTAAGTAATTGCCAATTAATCTTCATTAAACCCTTCCGCGTGACTGCAGATGGCTCCGGTGATAGAAAACAATTGCAGGCTGCCCCGAAAGTCGACAGTTAGTTCGAAAGTTGGCTCGGGGAAACGCTAGAAGCAGGAAACGTGGCACAGTGAAGAGGCGAGCGAGGGAAAGGGTGTTGCCGAGCGTTGAGGAAAGCCCTCGGTCCGTCTCCCTCGAAAAGCTTAAATCGGCCTCGTATCTCAGCCTCCCGGGAAACCCTCCTCTTGTATCTCTAATCAGATCATTAAGCCCGCGGAGCGTACGCATGAAGAAATTTGTCGGGGAAAGTCGCGCGAGCGGGGGCGTCACGCGCGAATCACCGCCCCAAGCAAAGGAAACGGATAATCGAATCAACATCGACGGAGCTCCGTAGATTTTTCCTCGCGATCGCATCCCTTCGCGCGTCTTGGGTAAACTCGGTTCACGACGGGTCATTAGCTTTGGAGCTGGTATAGGAATACTTTGAAACAGACCCAGAGACTCTGTGGTCCATGGTTGAAAATGAAGTCGCAATGGTAACTGCAACTGAGCTAATTAGAGCTGTGACTTATTAAATACCCGGGTATAGCAAAAGTACCTGGTTATTCGATGAGATAGTATGTACGTGGGTACTCGAGTTTTTACTCGAGGTTTTACAAATAATTTCGGTTACTAGATCTATTATATGTGTATTATGTATATGTTATATATGTATTATATATGTACTATCCTACACAACATTCGTATTTTCGAAAGAGCACTTAATTGAGTATGAAAGAAATCCTCGAGTATTTTTACTCGATACTCTACTTGTGTTATCCTGATATTCAGGTAATGTAATCAGGTCATTAGTAAAAATATAACAATGAATTATTTGAAAATTAAACAAAGATTTATAATTATTTATAAGATCTTATAAGATACTCGGGTAGCCGAGTACTCGGCTATCTCATGAGATTTCCGGGTAATTTAGCTCTCCACGAGTAAACCGGTTATGTATAATATATTTATAATTATGTATAATCTAAATGAGAATTAATTTTTATACTACTAACTGCGTACCATATTTGTGGGAAGAATGGGAAATTCAGCGGAGTGAAACAGAGCGTCGATAACGAAATTGAAATAAGCGAAGCGCTTGTTGCAGACTTTATTTCGTTACGTTTCGTTTGCCTGTATGTTTGATAATTATTTATATTGTCGAAAAATAATTATTTATATTCGTATAGCGTATAACATTGACTGTGAGCATTCCGTGTGCCTTTTATAAGCACCCCCGAAAACGCGTAAATACGCGCAAACATTATTCCAGCGTTCGTTTCGTTTATCGGATTCATTGAATTTCCAAATATGAATAATTTACGGTAGAGTTGACGCGCTGAAGGCAAACGAAACGAGCGTAACAACGGTCTCGAGTTCGCCCAAACGGCCGAAAGAAATCGAGGGACGGCCGCGGCTCTTTCAATTAGAATCTTTTCGTCGGGAATTAAAATTGGACTGCCCCTTCAAGCGTGTCTGATTTGTTGCAGGATGGAGGAGACGTCCCGGGGGTTGCTGCAACACAAGCACAGGGCCGAGCAGCTGAAGCAAGAGAAGACCGCGCTCACGCTTTCTTACGAGGTAAGTTCCGTGAGACTTCAAGCATTAATAATTTCATCCGGTATGCGTGGATCAGGAATAATTAATTTTCACCGCTCGAAAATGTGCTCCTCCCCGATTCAATTAAAATATGATACGTTGCTCCCTTCAAGAAATACTCTTGGATCTTCGTCCAGCGAAAATCTCTCGTCACTCTTAACAGTTCAACTTATCGACACTATCGTCCATAAATCTCTTCAAAACTTCGCAAACGAAACGAGAGAAAAAACAAAGGAACTACCAAACACAGATTTACTCCGAAACGACTCAAAACTCGAACAAGCAATATCAGATCGAACGTCCTGCTCGTAGAGACTGTTCTTTTTCTCCTCGGCCGATTGCCCGTTCGGTTCATCCGCTGTCAGATAATCGAAAATTCGCATGCAGAGATCAATTCTCGGCCGATTCGAGTCTCTCCGGCTGTCAGAGAATAGAATTATCTTGCGCAGTTGCGAAGTAACTTCTCGACGGAAAATCGGGAGCCATTGAGAACAGAAGGCTCGTAGGGGTGGATGGGTTGGCGGGAAACGGCGGTTGAGGGGCGGGGAGCGGGATGTTGTTCGCTTCGAAAGTAAAATCGAACGGGCCGTAGAGAACTCTTGCCGGCGTGTGCTCGGTTCCTCGTAGCCGATAGAGGGATTTTCAGGGGTTCTGGCATCGGTGGGGCGACGCCGACATTGAACCCGGGGGGGAGATCGAGCGGCGATCGATAATAAACGGTATTTCGTGGGGGCAGTGATGCACACCCCTCGTCCCTTGAATCTACGACTCTTTTAGAAGCAAACCGGCCGTGAACGAGATAGTGCGTACATTCTAAGGGTTCCCGGTAAATGCCGAGCGTTTACTGTTCCTCCCTTTTCATTGCAGCGCGCAGCTTCGCGCTGGGCGGTGCGGCGGCTGCGTTACTTTGTTAAGTCAGGAATATTGGCCGTTGGCAAATACGTGGACGCGCCCGGTTATTGCGACCCGAGCTGCGATATGAACTGGAAATTGTTGTATTCGCTCGGATCTTATACAGCGCGATCCAAAATAGCTGATATAGTGGGACACGTGAAATTTTGCGTGGGCGCCATGTGTGTTGTCTTTATCCATTTCGTTACGTAATGAAACTGGGAAGCATTGTAAAAGAAAATGAAGGGAATCATAGAAGCTCGTAACGTTTTAGTGAATATAAATTCAATATTGAATTTATTTACAGGAGATACTACTTTCGAAACGATAATTCAAACTTTACGAACGATTCCGAGCTCACTCGGAACATATTAATACAATCATTCAAGAAGAGGGAGACAACCCCTAGCTCTTCAGGAGTCCACCATTCGTACCATTCCACGGAATGACGGCGGACGTTATCGAGGAACTAATGGAAACGTCAGACCGAAATGTCTGTCCCGCCGTAGGACGGATAAGTCTATACCAGCCGCGATTTGTTTAAACGCGTCGGGATCTCATATCCCGTGAGCTGTTGCTCGAGGGCGTCGATAAAAGTAAACGAAACAAATTGTATCATTCGATACCGGAGCGGCGTTCAAGACCGTTGTCTAGCCTCGTGCCGGCTGCCAGGGACAATCGCGCGTGGCGAGTCGCACGCAGGACACAATAATGGGCCGCCTGGCCCGTACCCGAACGATTGTTATTGGACGACGGGCTAGCTTTTCCCTTTTTTGTTTGTTTCAACGACAGTGTCATCGTGTCCCCCGAGCTACCGTAGTCGCACGAAAAGGAAAATGGCCGCGACAATAAACGCTCGATCGGCACGCGAGAGAGTCCGAGGATGTCTCGTTATCTGGCCGTGCTCATCGACAACAGGGGCAACGTTCCGCGATACAGCGCTCCCATAGTACCGCGCCGGAGGCGGGGTAAAATCGGATGAGCCACTCGAACGGATATAAATTTAAGGAGAGCATCGCGGAATTGAAATCGCGTTCATACCGAACCCCTCCTGGGGATTCCGTTCGATCGAATGAAGGATGAGTAAGCTCGATTTAACGTTAAGTACGCCCGTTTATCGGCTGGCCGGCGGCTCTCGAAGGCCGAACGCTTTCATTGTGTTTCGTTGCCCCGGGATTGATCGATTTTGTATAACTGTAGCTTCCGATTTCTCTAAAATTGATCAAATATCATTCTTCATCTTTAGTTTTAGTTTAACCCTAATCGGATCACGATGTCACTTTGAGTCACATTTGAACTTTTTACTTAAATTTTTTGATTATTTCATATTGCTTTTCCAAAAGTTTTTTTGGGCTTTTAATATTTGGGCCTTATAAACAAAAACAATAACATTTTAATCATTCCTTTTATTCTCATAAGTGAGTGAGAGTCACATCGTGGTACGATTCGTTACGAAAACACGTGGTAGGATTATGGTTAAAATGAACAATTTCCTATTCCTATTAGAAGCTTGCGGAATAAAGTTGTTACGTTTCTCTTTGCTTGATTCGTCGTGATTTCATTAATCAAGTCGCGTGCGCGCAAATATTCATATTGCGCGACGTACAACGCGACAAACAAACAGGTAAGCGCTCGAATACCAGTGAACGCGTAAGACAGAAGCTATTCCCACAATTAATGTTATTGTACACTTTCCATTAAGCGTCGCGCGTTCAACCCCCGTTCCCACGTCCATTATTCCCTCACCGCCGGGCAAATACGTCTTCGTGGTTCGATGCGTCTCGAGGTGACACGCTGCGAGCCTCCGCCCGCCCGCCGACGCGACGCGACGCGACGGGACGCTTTCTCAAGCCGTTAACCGCCGCGGTGACACCGCTTCAAAATTAGATTAGAAATTTCACGAGGCCGATGCGTGCAATTTAGAGGAGCACGGAAGCGGCAGTCTGTCTTCCGTCGGTGCGACGATAAATTACCGCGGGAGGCTCGCGTACTTACACGCGGAATAGAGGGAAAATCTGCGGGAGGTGGACCGAGGGTGAGAATAGGGGAAAACCCGGTGACGAAGAGAGAGAGAGAGGAAGGGAGAAAGAGAGTAAGAGAAAGAGAAATGGCGGCGAGGAGTCAGATGTGCCGCGGGGAGAATTCCAAGAAGCGGCCAGTTTGTATTTTTATTTTCCCCCGGGCCGGGATGACAGAAAATCGTTGGCCTCCCTTCACTTTCGGAAGAAGAAAGGGGGTGTAGACATTAGCAGGGGCCGCCTGGCTGGCACGACTGTTATAAATCAGACACACGCACCCTCTATTAGCACCCCTGTCTACGACAGGTCTCCGCAGCCCTAATTTAACGTTAAACGCCTTTCTGCTAATAACGCTCGGTCGTGTTATTAACTCCTGCCGGCACGGCGGACTGCAGTGGGCACGATCCGTGAAAAAATGTACACCTGGCGATGGAGTGGTCTTGATCCTCCTGGAGGACGTTGTAAGAGTTGGACGCTTCGGTTCCAGTTAGGGGATACAGTCTTTGTTGGGTGAAATGTAAACCAACCGATTGTACAGGAATCACGTATCATGTTTCCGTAATTTGTCGATAACCGATGAAACTTACTTATCGAAATTCAGTTGAAAAGGACTGTAATTCAACGATGGTTTTTATAGTACTCTTTTCTGTTTGTTTGCAAACAGGCACGTGTACATCAATACCAAGCACAGATCTCGAAGTTGCAGCTGGAGAACGAGTCGATGAGGGGTCAGCTGCGCGGCTTGGAGGCTGCTTGTGCTGGTGAAGTGCATGCTGCACTGGTGGCACGTCTGGCGACCTTGGAAACTGAACACGCCGCGTTGGCACGGGACGCTGACGCTCAGCGTCGCCAATACGAGCGGTGCCTGGACGACGTCGCCAACCAGGTGGTCCGCGCCCTTCTATCCCAAAAGGTTCATTGCTATGCTCTCGTTACCACGTCCTCAACTTGTCTTTCTCTGTTCTCCTTCTCTTTCTTTTCTATATAAACGATCTTTCTCGCACATTAACCTGAGTAATAATTCGACGAAACTTAACACTGACATCTCGAACAATAACATTTCGACATTTAATACAGAGATATTCCAGAGTTTTATTAACTAACAATTATTTCGTTTTCATTCTTTTGAAGATTGTGGCGACATTGTAGATCTGTTAGTCGTTTATGGAACTTCTATTACTGTCTCTCAGTTTAGACATATTTTTAACAATTGAAACACTGGAATGTTATTTTATTGGTGCCACACTCGTTACTCTTTACTCGATTCTATTTTACTAACAATAAGTCAATTACAAAAGTTTTAATAGCTACTGTTTTAAGTGTACAATTTTAATGAATGTGCCAGTCAATCATCTGTCAACCGATCTTCATCCCAAATATCGATCCCATTTAATCCATCTGCATCTGCTGTGCTGGAACATTGGAAAGCTGCAAATATATGTCGCATATTAAGATTATATACGTCACGTGCAACGCAAATGTTCTCATTGCCATCTCATTAAAAAGAATTTGAACATAAATACGAATCAGCTCTGAATAGATTTCAATTTAAATGTTTCTATAGTAAATATCATTAGTCAATATCTAGTCTCATTGCACAATTTTCGATGTAGAAATTATATTTGTTCTTCCGTTATAATATACATAGCATTAGTTCAATGTATTGCAAACGCTTCTGCGCACAATTGAATCCAGCATCGAAGTCTCCGGTCCTCGTTCTTTGTCTGCTATCGCGCTTTCGATTGTTCGTGCCGAATCAATTTAGAAAATCGCACTGACAGTCGCGCTTCTTTCGTGCACAGGGTCTCAGGGAAGAAATCGGCGCGCTGCAGAGGCGCATTCGGGAGCTAGAAGCTCAGAACCGAGCGCTTTCCGGATTATTGGCACAAGCTGCGACTCCTGGAACGCCGTCAGAATTGATACAAGGGATCCTAGAAGCTGGGCCAGCGGCCGTAGTAGCTGCACTCGGTTTAGACCCGTCTTGGGTCCCTCTGGCGAGGCCCCGTTCTCTCAATTTGCAGATACCCGTGATGGCGGCTACGAAATGTCGAAGAAATAGACCATTGGGTACAACAACAAGTCCATTAGCGTCATATGAAATCAATATCCCTAAGAATACAAATTCCTTTTAACTAATTCTGTTTATCTAATACAATTTAGAAATATTCAAACGTCTCGAATCATCCAGATATCACTGGCAACTAAACTGCGGACCTGTATGCAAATTAAAATTTGTCGGAAAATAGTTTTCCTAAAAAATACTATAAAGACCACTGAACTTTGGATATTTTATACGTTTCATCAAATTTCTTACCATCCGTGCAATCTTACACTTTCAAATTTCTCATGAATGCTTAAAGATCCGCAGTCCGCTAATAACCATTAGCTGTAATCAATATAACATTAAGCTCCAAGGATCGTAGCCAAGTTAGGGAAGCTAACAGCTAAGTTGCAAGGGTTAAAGAGATAACTTTATCTAAAATTCAATACTGCTCAACGATGCAGCCCAGAAACCGTCGGAAGAGGAAGGCAGCGAGAGTCCGGAGAGCGGAAACAGGGACGAGGGTTACTCAACGATGTCCAGTGACGTGCAGGGCGAGGGCGCCCGGCAAGAACCCTCTCGAGGCTTAGAGGATCTCAAGGAAGCGACCGACGAGACCGAAGCGGATGTTTCTCCAGACGCGCGGCTGGTCACCCTCGACGCCGGTGATCCGGACGTACTCTTCCTACCATTGAACCTCACCGTGGGAATAAACCCGCGTCACAGCTACCCGCCGACCAAAGATCTGCTGCCGTATCAACACGTGATGCGCAGCTTTTCTGACAGTCACTTATGCCTGAAACTGACTACCACAACCAATTTTACACCGTACAAGCTACCCAGCCCTATGGGATCGTCGTCGCTGCTCTTGGTCGAGGAAGAGGGCTGGGACGCTGAGTACGTGCAACAATGGCTCAGGTGCGTCCATGTTTGTTTTTTCACCTTTTTATCGTATTCAGAATGAAATACTTTTGATGGAGGAGAGAATCCAGAAATATTGAAATAGGAAGAGTATTTAAATCATTATAGTAAGACACGATAGAGTTCATCGAAGAATGAAATTGAAAAGCTTCGTACATTGATCCTGGAATGATTATACTACCAGTTTCTGAATTAAATTAGCCCGCAGTAGAAATTAAATTCGAAGACTTATCGTGCTTCTAAACCAGAACTAAGAGTTAATAATCTGGAATTGTCAATGCAATGAACAGTCCGTTATTGTAGGTTACTTACGTGTCATATTTAATCTCTTGAGTTCTAAGTAAATTTTTAAGGAATTCCTGAATCCCTTTAAGGGCCCTGGCGGTATTAATGTAATTTGTGTATGTAAGATAAGCGGCTTAAATTGAATTCGCCCGGTAAAAGAAACCTCAAGGGTCGGTGAGGTCGTCGGGCTGTTAGCGTGTTCAATTTAAAGAAAGACACGACGGCGACGGCGATTAAACGGGGAGATAAATTTCAGGTTGGACGACAGTAGGAGTGCTCAACAACATCGAGATCTCCTCGAGTTGGAATACGACAGAGCAGAACTGGAAGATTGGAGTTTCTCGTTGTCCACCGAGGACCTTGTTCCAAATGAATCCATGGTATGGAAGGAACCCGCTACAACGACCACCCCCGCCCTCCCAGCAATCAAGGAGCATAATCCCTTGGAATTGGAAGAGGACGCGAACGAATGCTTATGGAATGGTGCCAGTTACCTTGCAGATAGAACGGGTGGAGAATTGGTATGTAGTTATGAAATAAAGTGGAAGCAATTGATATTACTTCAAGCCCAAGCTTGTTTTACTAAATAATCATTTTCTATTGCAACAATCCATTCCTTCGTAAAGGAAAATAGATTTCAATTATTCGATGGAAATTTACGTCTCCGTTGATTAATTTTGTAAAACTAAGTAAGAGCTGGTTAGAAGTATCATTTTTATTACAAAAAAATGTAATTGCTTTCATGATCTCATTTTCATTTCTTGGTTTTCTGTATAGGTTGCACTTTTAATGGATGCCAGAACGACCGCATCGTGGCCGTACGCAACGAGTCCCGGAGCTTCGTGGAGCAGCGAGGATGGAGCGCTCGAGAATTCCAGCAAAAGATCGTCGGCCGCCTTGTCCGGTTGCAGCGACGATGCGGAATCACCATCCATCGGCACCGACTTCACCAGAGACTTTTATAGGCTGGTGAAGTTCGAGAGCACGAAGAGCTTGGCCAGCACGTCATCGAGAAGTGGAAGACCACCACCGGACCGAGAACAGGCACTCCAGAGCGTTTTGTCTTTCATTGCTGAACAGCAAATGTATTTAGCCGAAGTACCCAGTAACATTTTGGAGCAGAATAACTCGACAACAGAAGGTTTGGTTCTTGTTTTGTTGTCTGTAAATTCGAATCGTTTATAACAGTGAACAAGCGTCCCCTGATTACTTCTTAATTACAAACGGTGAATGATATTATATTTTAGCTTATTAAAAGTATCTTATAGCTGTGAGAGACATGGAAATCTAATGAAATATTAGTGGAATATAAATAATATTTAGTGAGAAATAAATTGAATTCTTTAATCCGAGATTAATATTAATGCAATGAATCATTTTCCAATTGTTCTCCAATTAGTTCTAGAGGAAGCTGGAAACAAGGACGACTGTGGAACGGAGGCAATGTGCGCCGATATTGAAACATCCGTCGATCAGGAGAACAGTCATGGAGAGAATATCGTTGAGACGAGCAGTAACGACGATCTGTTGGATCAGATACCTGTACCGTCTCTGGCGCCCGAGGAGCGAATAATCAGCGCAGTGGCTTGTAACGGTGGTGTGTCTTACACAACGGTTGCGCCCTCAGAATTGGGCGCTGTCCCCGAAGAAGACGAGGAGGCAGCTACCTCTTCTACACCCAGCACGGTTGTAAGTTGCCGTCTGCACTAGAAGTTTTTTGTTTCCAAAATTAATTTTTTCATGCTGTATAAAATGATTTTTTCAAGACTGATAAATTTTATATTGTTTCATTTGGTTCGTTTACCCCTGGAAAGAGTACAATTCTTTATATAAATGGTAGCTTCGAATGCAAATAATATATTTGAATTGATTGAACTACTACATCAGTTCGTTGTTACAAATTTATTTCGTTATTAAGATTCAATAGTCGATTTAATAATTTGAGTCTATTACTGTCGTCACGTAACGAATTTTGACCATGATCAGGTCAGTCCAGCGAGAGCACCACTATTGGTCGAAGGCAGGAATCGATCACTGAGCTTCCACGAACGCGCCACATCGAAAGACGTGATAGACGAACTGAACCGAATGATCAGGAAGGGCGAAGAGACCTTATTGCAAGACAGCCAGGTGCCGCTCGAGAAATTGGACCTTGCTTGCTGCTGTCCAACTGGATGGGTTCACGTTGAACGAGACATTGACTTCACCGACCCAAAAGTGAGTTACACTCCCACAGATGGTCCAATTAACTCTGTTATAGTCTGATCAAGATGACAGTAAACTACTTACTGTTGTGCCTAGTTTCTAGACACACCGTTAACGTTAAATTTTAATTAATTAACGTGAAAGTAGAATTAACGTTGACATCATTCATGGAATAATGTGACACGCTTTTGTAATGTAACTAGAATTTTTGTTTAAGGATAATGGTTACTAATTGATTATTACGTCTGCAGGCAAGAGCCAATCTTTTAGACGTGATGCTAGCAAGCAGCGAAAGTTCTTCAGCGACATCGAGCAGCGGATCAGCCGGAAGTGACTCGGGGGATGAACCACCGGATTACCGTCACTTGCACAGATTACACCGATACCGACGTCAAAAGAAAGGTATTTATTAACGAGCCTCTCTCAGGAGTATCTCTTTTGTCCAATCTTGCACACCACTCTGAAATATTTCCTTCTAATGACTGTACCTTCCGCTTAACACTGTTGCCAAGATGTGTTGCAAACGATATCAATTCCCAGTAGAAATCTTGTTGAAATCCTTCGGTTCACATCTGTTTCACCGATACTTAGTATTTTGTCAGTCATTGATAATTATCTTTCCGATAAGTCTGTTTCATTATCAGAAGAAAATACTACGAACACATCTTCCCACAACCTTGTTTCGAGACTGGAGTATGACAGAATCGCTTCCGCTTCTCACACTCAAACTAACATCATTAACAACATGGCGAAATCACGCTAATATATGCTACACATTGCTAAACCATCGAACTAATCGATAGAAAGTACATTTTCTTAATTGATCAGTCGAAATCTCTGTCGCATAAATGTTCACGATTCGATAGCAATAAACTAAGAATATAAATTGATCTCTTGAAAACCTAGCAGAGTACGGAGAATACAGTAAATCTGATAACGTGGTGTATATGTTAGCGTGGGCTCTGCACTAATGCGTTAACACGTTGCGCGCCACTTGACAATTAACACCGTCACTGTACAGTCACAATGAGCAAAAGAAACTGAAACGAACAAAAAACGGAAACACAAACACGAACGCTAGAGTAGCCCTCGCTGTACATAGCCTTTTCCACGTTTTCTGTTCAGATGGTAGCTCCTACGCGGTGTGCTTTGATTGTCACAAGAAAAGCTACGTAGTTCGGCTTAGTGACGATCAGTTTCTGTAACCGACATGCCAGTTGGGAGGAATCGTTCCGCCGGGACCTACATTTCAACGTGAACTGTACGGCTACAACGGATTTTCCATTGGCTTACTAACAGATTATTAACAAGAAGACGTTAGAACGAATTCGCTGTCGGTCGCCTTCACGCAATTCCAATTTCGCTGAAACTTTCTGTATTACGTGTCAACAGATCTTTTTTCCTTTATTTTTTTTTAAGATAAAGTCTCGGTCCATGTTCACAAATAAATATCCAACGATGTTCGAACATTGTCCTCGTACGGTATCGACAAAGCACTGAGGAATTGCGTCAAGGGTCACATTAAAACAGTTACTTTCTCTCTCATTCTATATAAGATTGGTACTACCCAAATATCATTGGCTGGTACTCGACTATTACACTGTTTTCATTGTTCTCTATCATTCCACTACTATTCATTGTTTCTCGTAAACTGTATTAACTCCAATCGAAATTTCTATTTGAATTAAAAAGTATTGGCTATCGAAGATGATTTTCTTTATCTCGATAACATAACAAGAGAGCTTGGAAACTGTTTTTTTAATAATGTGTCGTATAAATTAATCTTGACTAGAAGTACATAATAATAATCATCATCATCCTTGAACGGCCAATACTTCTTTCCACGAGTACATCGGTCGCAATCTCTAACACAAACTGCATTCCTTCCAATCATATCGCATCAGTCGTGGCAAACGAATGGTGCTCAATGATATTCACAACGGGAAACGAATGTAAATCTTTTTCCTTTAACACGTTCGTTACATTGACACAAGAAAATCTTTTCGCATTTTCCTTGTTCTATAAACTCTACACGAATACTTGAAGACAACGAGGTAGTAAGCTCAGCGGGACCATACGAACAAGCGTCATCCATGGGTCCAAGCCGACTAGTGTCCCAGGATCGTCTCCGACGTTTCAAAACTTGTTGAAACTACTCTAAAAGCTAATAACGCTGTGGATGGACAGCTTTGCGCATGATTGGGCCAGCTGTCTCCCATTATCACGACAGCCCCGTTAACCAGCCGAACCTCCATTCACGTGCCCGCTGGATTTACCACCTCGTTCCCTCGAAGCGTGGGCATTGATAGCGAACGTGTTAAAGCTAATTACGCTCCTCGATTGCCACGTCGATCGAACCACACGAGTCGGGGTCGAGTGCCGGCCAATGGCGCGACGATCTCGGTGCGAAG